TTGGTTTTGTCTGTGCACTGCAGTTCTTGGCCCAAACTCTTCTTGTCACTTTGCAACTAAGCTGAGAATATGGAATATCACTGGGCAGAATTAGCATTACAGGATTGTTTTATCTGGAGAGCTACTGAGATATTTGGCACTGCAGACATGGAAATCCTTTGGGTTTTGGCTCTCCTGGTAACTCTTCTTTTCTGGAACTCCATTTGTTACAGTGACTTACAGCTGAAACTGCTATCAGCATTCTCAAAACTTCATGTACATGATTTTGCCCTTCTCAGTATCCAGTTTTCAGTCACACTTTATTTTCCAGAGAAATATCGCAGCTAAAATCAGCTCCCCGTTCACCCTTCAGCCTTCTGTGCGTGGAGATGGTGGAACTCAGCCAGTTCTGTCCATCTGCAGCCAGACACTTGTCTCTTCACTGTAGCTAGATTGGCTTCAGCTCCTTAGCAGCTCTCTGGCTCCAGTTCCATAATTCCAAGGTTCCTAGAAGATCAGGCAGGGATGATGGATGTAATGGCACTTAAAGGGAAGAAAAAAAAAAAAGAGGAAATGACATAGCCATGACAGAAGAAAAACTTAAAAATAGAGTAGTGGCAGCATGATCGTGACTAAAGCTGTGTCATTTGGCTTTCATTCTTATTTTAATCCAAAAGGTCCAGTTCTGTAGGTATTCAACTGGCTTAAAACTGTTCAGAGCAAAATCCAATGTACAAAACCTAAGTGTGATTTTAAGAAAAAATAGAGTGACTACACTGGAACTGATAATGTCAGTCAATATTTTTGTTTTCCTTTTTTTTTTCCATGATGTAAGTCCCTATGTTTATCATTGTACCTTCTTAACATATTTTGGCTTTTTAGAGAGCTCTATGAGCCAATCATTATCATTGTACTTGAGAGGTTTCACAGTTTCAAGTCACCACTAAATTCATCACTTTACTGGTAGCGCTGAATGGTTTGTCTGTATCAACTATAAAAATTATTTCTTTCATAAAATATACCTTATATAAGTGATATTTTATACTGTTCACTTAAAAATAGATTTTTTAAAAATTTATGTACTCTTAAAATACAGATTTTGTTGCATATATATTTAGAGTCATTTTGACTTTCTTAAATCAGTTCCTTGCCAGCACCTGACTTGGCATCAGCAGCTACACACTGAAAAACCAATTTTTAAGATGTGACTCCTGACTGACAGTTCGTAAACACTGAAGTGGAAGTTAAACTTGTGCCATCTCCTCTGGAAACTGCACAGTTGTCCTTTAGCAGAATGTCTTACTGAGAGGAGCGATCTGCTTCTCTAGAGTACATTTGACTTCTGTGATTTTCTTTGTTTTGGAGAATCAAGAAATATTTAGGGATTACGATCCAGCTGCTTTACTTTTTTCATTAAAGCATCCAGTGGGAGAGTATGAACTTTTATATGAGATTGCTTTCACTGGAGGTTACTACCATAGACAGATGGTTTTTTTCATTACCTGCTGTAATGGACTGCACATTTACAGGAGCAGCAATAACTATCTTCGATAAATATCTTCCAAATTAAGGGCCAATCCACCTGCAGGAACTTTTTTTCAGCCAAATATCGCAGGCTGAGTCCAAGAGGAGGTAACTTTTAGATAGCTGAAGAATGTGTGATGTGCAAAATCTAATTGTATTCAGCTATAGTAATTCACAGATGTGAGTTCAATATATCTGTTTTAAGTTATTTTATCAGCCTGATTAATGCAGTTCATTGGTCTGACATAGGCAGTTTTCATCCCACCAGGGACCAGGAGAGGGAGGATGGCTAAGACCACCTCCTCCTCATTCATGTAGGCCAGAATTCCAAACTTGGCAACTCAGTATGTACTCATAAGTTGAGTTAAAGGATCAGGAAACCATGTTTGGACAAGACAGGCTAGGATTTGGGGTGTTGTAGCTTTGTATCAATGCAATGTCATCAATCCTCAGGAGCTGGAATTAGAAATTATTACTGCATGATTGATGGAAACCAGCAGCAAGTGCTTCAAGAATGAGTTTGGCACTGTTAGACCAGTACCCAGGTCATCAACGAAGCCTGAAAGTACAGGAAAATTGATATTTATATTTTATATTTGCCTTCAAAAAGCAGACCTACTAAAAGAAGAAAGGAATTTATATTAAACTGGTCAGCATAATGGGCTCACAGTTGTAAGGGTTAAAAAAGGTAAAATATTCATCACCTAATTCACTCTGGGATTCACTTAATAGTCAGTCATATAATGTTTTTGTACTGAATACATTTGAAATGGTTTGTTCAATGAAAATACTGTGCTCTATCACATGTTCAGTCTGTGTAACCTAACAAGAACTCCAGTAAGATTCATGACATTTCAGTTCTGCTCCTGCCTTTTTTTACTGCCCAGTGGTTATTCTGGTTATTCCTATAGAGAAGGAGTTTTAAAGCTTGGGAGACCCATTGTTTTTCAATTCTTCTCATAAATGTAGTTAAAAGACTGGGGTATAGACATGGAAAGTATAAGAGATGGTGCCAAAAGGAGGTAAAGAAGTAAAACTAGAAATGTAATAATTACCATGTTGGTTTTAGTTGTGCTAAAGCATTACAAACCACTCATGAGCTGGGGGGGCCTTTCACTGCCCCCAGAACACCAAGACCATCCTTCACACAGAAAATTTCTGAAGGACTACTTAGTTTGATTATGTAGATGCAAAACTGCCTGATGGATTAATCGGTTAGGAAGTGAAAGCTCATAGAAATATTTGGTCATAGTGTAAGAGAGAAAAATGAGGGCACAAAACTAGCAGTACAAGGATAATTCTCCATTCATTACAGACTGTGTGATAGAAAAGGTTTGAAAATTGCTTCTGATTGTGAAGCCTGGTTCAGCATCAGCCTCTTACTTTCTCATTAGCACTTTTGAAAAGTAAGTCATGTCAGTGTATTTCTTGCACTGCCACTCCATTTCTGTGCTCTTCTTCCTTTTCTGTATTGCTGTACTGGAAGGGATAATTTCCACTTGGATGATTATCCTCCTGTCATTTAATTACAAGCCTGAAAATATCACGTATTTTAAAATATTGTGTATTTTCTCCACTTTCTTTATATATTCCTTTAAACAAACATAGAAATACTGTGTAATTGCAGGGCCTGGATCTTCATCCAGCCTACCAACAGCTTGCTGAGCGTTACTACAAGGTTTTGTTCCACCTGAACTAAATTATATGGATTCGTGTTATGTTGGATTATTTAAGTAGAAGATAAAATCTAGAAAAACAAAAAGGGTTTTTTGAAGGCCTTTTACTCTCTGGGAATCACTTTGGACTTAATGCTGCTTTGTTTTTCCTTTATCCTAATTTTTATTATGACACCTCTTGCAAATACAACCTGCTTAGCTGAATGTGAAAAAACCAAATGTAAAATGCCTTAAAATGAAATCAGAGATTATTTTTTAGGATAATAGCAAGGTCCACACCAAGCTCTACCATTCCATGCAGAACAAGGGCAATGAGAGAAATCTCCCGCTGTTTCTGAGATGACCATTTAGTCCTTCCATGACTGTTAATGATTCTAAAGATTCTCTTTCTTGATTACACGTGTGTATCGTGGTGTTTCAAGCTCATCTTAGAATTTAATGAGAGAGTAGTGCTAATAGTGGAGTGTTTGTTCAATAATCATTCAGGGTCAAGATAGCAACAGAGATCTGCTTGATTAAGATAGCAAACAAAATGCTTATCACTATGCAGTGTGATGCTTGGGACAACAGCTCTGATTTGTTCCTGCCAACAGCCATAGAGATGCATCTTCTGTTCCGTGGCATTTATTATATACAAATTTTTTTTTTTTTTTTTTAAATCTTCAGTTGAAATAATGTGGTGGGTTGACCCTGGCCAGCAACCAAGCCCCCACCCAGTCACTCTCACCCACTCCTCAGCCAGCTAGAGAGAGAACTGGATGAGCAAAAGTGAGAACTCGTGGGTCGAGGTAGAGACAATTTAGTAAGTGAAGCAAAGCTTCATGCATAAGCAGAGCAAAATAAGGGATTTATTCAATACTCCCCATCAGCTGGTGGATGCTTGGCTCGTGCCCTGAAAGCAGGGCCTCAGTGCTCAAAAGAATTACTTGAGGTGCCAAAACACCCTAACTGTGAACATCCCCACTTCCTCCTCTGTTCCCTAAGCTCTCCTTTCTGAGCCTGTCATAAGGTAAGGAGTCAGTTCAGGCCATCTGCACCCACTGTGTCCCCTCCCAGCTTCCTGTGCCATCCCAGCCTGCTCACTGAGGAGGGACAAAGAGAGAGGAACTGCTGCAGGGTGAGCAGTGTTCAGCATCAGCCAAAGCACCGGTGTGTTAGCACTGTTCAAGTCACGAATCCAAAACACAGCACCGTGCGGGCTGCTGGGAAGAAAATCAGCTTCATCTGAGCCAGACCCACTAGCAAGTTATAAGCAACGAACTGCATTGAAAAGCAGCTTTGCAGAAATCTCTGAGGTTTTTTAGGCTCTTCTGCCAGTGTATTCCTAGTCGTGTACCTGTAGTTCTCCCTTGCAGATGGCGTCGTCAACCCTTTTGGAAGTATTCCCTAGATAACAGTCTACTTACTGTCTCACTGTTTGCTGGTACCCACCACTTCATCCCTAAATACCTTACATTTTCCAGTTCTTCTTACATTTAAAGACAACTTAGGTTTTAAATGTTTTTTTAAATTGTTCCAGTCTTCTATTAAGGATATTTCTTCATTTATTTTGTGGAGAATAGTACTGAATAACATATGGTAAGAATTGAAGCATTAAAAAGAGATAAATTTATGGAGTGCAGGAGTTCTAACTAATGAGAATTTTTTATAAATATCTGTTTTACCTGCTGGAAACAACTCTCAAAAGAGCTTTCCTTAACTGAGACTATCTTTTTCCCTACCTTTTTCCTCTTTCTTCTTTAGTTAATGGAATTTCTCTGTGGCCATCTTCTTATAGATGTTCTCTGGTACTTCTTGGTATAAATGAAATTATTCCCCAATGTAGCATTCAGTTGCCCTGCAAATATTAGTATAGCTTAGGTAATCAGAGCTTTGAGAATCTTCTTCTGAACTAGAACAGATCTGCCCGGTGTTGACATCTTTGAAAAGGTTGACTACTTGAAATTCAGTTTTGCCTGGGTGATCCTGCCATTTTCCAGAGAAAAGCAAAGTGTGACATTAACAATTTAACATTTTGTTACAGAACACTTATTATGAAATGACACCTGAAGTATTCTGTATTTCTACAAATTATTACCGAGGATGCATTTTGCTTTTGAATTCAGGGGATGATGTTGAATTTAATATTCATTCAGAAGTACTCAGTCCAATTTACAATGACAACCAAAAATAATGAATAATATATTTATATCATCCATTAATAACCATCCATCCATTTAAAAGTTTCATCCTAATGCATTCTGGAAATCTGCAAATTAATTATGCAAAACCCTGAATGAATATAAAATTGAAATGCTTAAGAATTTAAATGATGCAATTAAATGCTATTGCATGTAACTTGAAGTTATTTTCTTCTAATACTTACTCATCAATCTTAATTTCAGTACCACCATTTAGAAACAGAATCAGCTCCTGTATCTTGTCAAAATATTGGAAGTTTGAGCGAAGAATGTATTTGTATTCCTTTGATTACTTTATTTCCAGACATGAATTTAAAACCTTCATTTAAACAGAACTGGCCTTTTTAAAGACAGATTACAATGCTTCAAAATCAGGAGGGTGAGATCAGTGGTGTCAATCCTCATTCTTTAAAAAAACCCAACAAATCCCACAATGAGAATTGATCTCAAATCATAGCAACCTAAAAAAAATTCTCTTTAAACTCTGTAGCACTGGCAAATCAATCCATAGCTAGTGATGATTAAGATTTTCTAACCATGCTACCTGCTAAGTTCATATACAATATATACTTTTATTATTGTCATTTTTAGTTCCATAGCAATATCTTGCTTTACCACTTTCTATACCGTGCTAAACCTTGGAGTATGGATTTATGGCCACAGCAACGGCTCTGTAGCACCCTGGCAACATAAAACCAATTTCTGTGGAATTTCTGTGCTTCTGCTGTAACCTCAGAGGCTAAAGAGCCTGGAAAAGGATTTTTCCTGTTGCATTGCAGAGCTCTACTCCCATCCTTCCAGTTGTAGGTAAGGTACAGCTCTTCTCCCATGGGCTGTCTAAAGTACTGCTCTCAAAAAGTAGGAATTTTTGTTTTGACAGCTGGCACCCATCCTTTTCCTATGGCTGGTCTGTCTGTACATGCCTTGTCTTGACAATCAGAGAGTATACAGGAAAAAACAAAGTTTTGTAAATGATAATTGACACTGCATAATAATAATAAGAGGTCATACATGCTCTACCCTAGTTAAACAGTAGCACAAAGGTGCAGAAAATCCAAGCTGTTGAGTGCAAACATGACGTGTGCAGTGAAATCTTCAGATCTGTGTGTTCCTTGTATTAAATTTGTTCCTTTCACAGATTTAATACTTCAGGGTCAAAGGCAGGCATTCACCTTCTCTTCTGCTTATCTTATCCCTTGGGGATTACTCTCTACAAACATCAGCCTGAAAATCCAGGCTGAGAGAGGACTCTTGTCCATTGGAAAGGTTCTCACAGCAGTTGTTTAGCTGTGCTCCAGCTCACTGATATAAACTTTTTGCTTTAATAGTAGTGACATAGTTTTAAAATCCCTCACCCAGCTTCACAGTGTGGACTGGCAGGCAGCTCATGATGCTAAAAGACTGTCACCTTAATAAGTCACCTTTACTGAACAGGTCAACCTTGGAATCAAGTTTTCAAGACAAAACAACAGAATAGAAAGTAAAAGTTCAGGTGAAGACAAATGGTCGGCAGGATAGGCAAGGCTGAGACGTTTTTGGTAAAAAAAGTTTGAAAATATTTTGATTCAAAGAGCCTGGTTTAAACTCTGGGGAGAATGTTTTTTGTCGAGGATGAAAATATTGAAACAAGCACTTTGAAAAACAGCTTGAGAAGGATATCCATCTTATAAAAAAATAGTTAACTTTTTTTCTGTACTGTTTCCATTCTCTTTTCACATACAGCAGTAAAATACATAAATTACAGTAGTAAAATATCAAACCTGACAGTTTCCAAGCCAGATTTAAGCTAATGAAAAATGTGAAGAAAGTTATTTGAAAGTGAAGTAGGTTTGATTTTTTTTTTTAATTAAGTGGGTTTTGTCAAATCCTACTTATTTTTAGGTTACATTATCAAGTCATATGTTTCAAAGGCAAAAAACCTCATTAACTATTTTTCACATGTTCTTAAATAAAAACAGTCTAAATCCCTCAATGCAAACACTTTGACTATTAAGTTCTGACTGTAAAATAAAATTTTACATTAATACAAAGATTTCATGTGTGCATGTGTATCCACACATTATGTTTATTAAACAAAATCTAACAGTTGTTTGTTTGTGGTTTGTTTTTTTTTTTTACTTTAGTGAAAAGAATCTGATTTTATTATAATTGTCCTTCCATTTTGAAAGCAGTGAGTTCAGCAACATATAAAATTCTAAGAGCTATGTTGTTGCTGATCAAAAATGGAATGTCTTATCTTTCTCTTTCAGAGAACACTTACAGGAGCACTGAAACACGAGGGAAGAGGAAGCCCTTTTCTGATATATGGATGTTGACTGAACATGGCAGAGTAGCCTTGGACTCCACTGGAAAGGTAATCGATGTCCCAGTTTCAATCTTCCAGAAGTTCTGCCATCTCATCAGAAATACAGGAATAAATATTTAGCTTCCTTCCTCTTCTCCCCTGACACCACGACTTTCTGGATGCAGGGCGTTAGCCTCTGCATTAGTTTATTGATCCTTTAATGTAGGACCTGACTTGCTTCAGGGGCACCATAAATACAATATTGCAAAAGTCCTGCCATATCAATATTCATTTATTTTTATTGATTAGTTGCCACTTCTAAATTCCGGGTCCGGAATTAATGTATGCTGAATACCTACTTGGATTAATGAAGCAAAAATTGGCTCTAACAACCTGCACAAGCTACAGAAATGTTTTCGGTTACAAAGCTAATTATTTCTTTTTTTTTACAATCTGCAATTACTTTCATAATTTGACTTATCCTTGGAACATCACTGGAAGACACAGAATAATGAACCAAGAGCTATTTTTAAGCTCTCATTATTTACAATATCCTACAAGAACATCCTTACTCTAAGTCCTTATTTAAACACTGGAATTAGTAGGTGAATGTGACCAACTTAATACGTTTCAGAAGGTGAAATTTTAGAAGATTAATTTGAGGTGTTACGTTTTTTGTGACTGTTATGGCACACAATAAAAATACATTTATGTATGTGTCTGTTCCTCATACACACAGATACACTGTTAGATGAGCTCTAACACAAGGTAGGTGAATATATTCATGAGTACTTATTCTGAACCATGGTCAAGGTGTCATAGTTGGGCTTTCCATTTCCTCCTCTGCACAGCAAGTTTCTCTTCACAGCACTTGTTTTTCAGTTACCAGTCAATCTTTGTATATCTGACATTTGATTGTTATTGAACTGCATCTTTTGCAAAAGATGGGTTTTTTCCTTTCCTCCTTGGTAAATGTAATGTGGGCCTTGTTTTTTTTTCCCCTGAGAATTCCTCTCTAAACCTTAAGGTCTCCTAGTAAAATTTTCAAGACTGGGAGGGTATAAAAGCCCAGGGTTTCCTTTGTTGGAGGTCTCTCCCCTGAGACACCCAACTCTAGCTGTTATTTTTTTATTGCCCTATGATGAAATTATTTTAAGGATCAGGATGTGAAGACTCTGGTATGGGAAAACTGAGACCAAGCCGGTAAGGAAACCTGGTCTGACTGAGTGAATGGGGATTTGAGTTCCTAAGACTAATTTATTTTCATTTCAGAAATGGTGTATTTTTCCTTCACAGTATTTGTAAATGTCTTGGACTCTTCTGACTGACCTGAAGCCATTTGTCTTTTGAACACACTGCAAAAAGGCAGAGAATCATTTTGAATGAGAACCCAGAAGTTTGGGAGTGTGTTCATTTATCCCATCCGTTGGGCTGAAGTTCTGTAGGGTTTGTGATAAGGCAAATCTCTTATGATTATCATGAGAGCTTTTATTGTGCAAAGAAATAAAACCATCACACCTAAATTTAGTTTTATTTAGGTAGAAATCTCGTGGGAGACATTGAAGAATATGACTTAGGTTTTGTATACATGCATTTATAATATTACAGCCCATTTTAATGGACGTTTTTCCAGTGGAAGATAAACTTGGTTTTAAAGCTTAAATGGAGGAAAAACTTAGGTAGTTCCTATTTATTTATTTACATCTTTTTACTTATAATATACACTGTTTTATGCTATATTTTTATAGCTTTCAATGACAAATACAGAGACTGCCACAGGAAACTGTCCTTAGGCAGGACTCCCCAAACAAACCACTTCATGTCAGATAAGGATGTGGTCTTTCGACTTCTCAAATATCTTAGTAATTTGTGTGGTTATGACATCTAATCCTAGGTTACATCATTCATGCCTTAATACGTGGTATGATGTATTGTAGTGTAATGTGATTGATACAGCCTGATTTGCAGAGCTCTCAGTGACAAATGGGTTTGGAAAATGGGTGAAGAAAAGGTCATTTCTTCAATATTATTGTCAGAGTCTTTTCTACAAGAACAACTGGTTTAAAGGATTATCAAGAACTGAAGAGGATTTGCTGTCACATTAGATACAGGTCAAGAGTTTGTGAGTTTTTTAAAAAGTATTCAACATAAGTATTTTAGTGGTATTCTGTGTATAAGAGTGGGTTCTGCTTCTGTGTGGTATGAACTCAAATCTGGCCTGCAGGTGTAATTCAGTCACGGGGGAGAAGGATGGAGCTGTTCTTGCAGCAGCTTTGCAAAGCACAGATTCTCAACAGCCTCTGCTTCAAAGAGAGAATACCTGGATCCCATTCCCCCAAATACAAACTCAGTGCTCCTGTTCTGGCAACCTGC